TCTGAGTAGACAATCAGCAGGAAATACAGCCTCTGTTACATGCTGGGCTTTGTCCATTTTTCCAACAGAAAAACAGTAAAGCCGAGACATTCAGGTCCTCATATCACATCTGTGTCCCCCACGTGGACTTGAATAGTCTTTATCTGGCCTGTTTGTACCTCTGCTGCTCAAACCATCTACAGGTTTATTACTATTAGGGCCTGAGCCGACTGAAAGTCGGGGGAAAGCCTTATTGTGGTTCGAAGAATTTCTTTATGTTGTTACTCTCTGAATATGTGGAAACCAGCAGAATAAATTAAGACTCCTTTCAGTGCTTTCAAACTCAATTATTCTATTAGGGGAGGCAATTTAAATGCACACAGTAGTCTGAGAGTGAACCACACAGATGGACTTCTGCAGCCATATGGGTAGTACACCACACCCGCACAGGCCCACACACACACACACACACACAGTTGATGGTGGTGAGCACCTATATGTCAAGGTGGATGGGGGGGGGGGGCTCTGATCTGTTCCAGATGTGTGTGTGTGTGTGTGCGTGTGTGCGCCTGTATGTTGGGTGGATTGAATTGCTGAATCTTTATCTGACTCCATTCTTGTCTTATTTCTTCATTTTGCGCGTGTGTGTGTGTGTGTGTGTGTGTGTGTGTGTGTGTGTGTGTGTGTGCGCGCCTTACAGAGGCTGATCCAGTGTATAGGATATTGGATTTGGCAGTATGGAATTTAGTTAATTCCTCCAGCTAGTCTTCTAGCTTGATTAAATAATCGCTGATTTAATGCAAGTCAGTGCGTCTATCAATGCAAGTGTGTGTCTCTGCGTGTTTAAAGCAAGGCTGACTTACTCTTTAAGTGAATTAAATGTAATTTCGTTTTGAAATACTTTGTTTAGAAAGCCCTCGCCTTTAGTATTTATCTTAGACCACAGAGCGCCTCAATCTATTTCTCTGTGATCTTTCTTAAGTTCTCTCTTTCTCTGCAGTTTTTCCTCTACACATTTCTCCTTTTTTTGCCACTTAGCACCAAGGTTGACAGCACTTTGGGATTTGAAATGTTGATGTGTTTAGTTTGCTTTAACCAAACACAGTGTGCAAGATAGAAAATCTGGATGTTTTTGCAAACTGAATGCATCGTTGTGACCCGTCTTGTCGACACAATCTCAAACATTGGCACTTCCACTTGTGCCGTCGGCTCAGAGCATTGGGAAATACTTTTCTTATGTCCTTGACAACAAAGGTATTCAAATAGCTGTATTGACTATGGATATTGGACATTTTAAAACCTGGTTGCTCTTGCTTAGACCACCAATCTGCCTCTCCAGACTAGTTAAAGGGAAGCTGTAGCACCACTGCAGGTTGAAGATGCCCACGCACAGTGGTTGCATTGGTTGGAAGCTAAAATAAATGCGAGGGGCTCGGCACAGAAACCTAAATAAGTTGACGCTTATCTGTTTCGGCCATCTCCCCCGTTAAGATGTGAAAGAGCATGCAGTGTAAACAGTTAAATGACATCTGTAAATGGATGGCTTCAGCAGTAGAAGGGCTCAGCCACTGTGCGGTTACACCATCTGTTTTCATGTAGGATAAAAATGTAATTCCCCAGAATGAAGTTATAATTTATACTTTTTATGAGTAGTCACGAGAAAGCCACTGAGAAACGGCTCACAACGTGTTTGAATTTAAAGGATGCCAATCACTTTAACCCATTTAATGAAAAGTCTACAAACAAAGAGTTTTAGAGCCGTTCACAGACACGGAGACAGACACAAGGGGGGAAAAAAAGCTCTCTGTTAAAGCAGTTTGTGCGTTGTAGCTGATGATGAAAGCCATTAAACCCATAAATGCTGTTTGATGTGCAGCCTGCCACAGAGTAGATTGTAGTCCTGATTTCTGCGCCCCGCTCGTGAGCACTGTGAGAAATCCGGCGATTTAAACTACTTGCCACTCGCTGTATTTTAATGCACCCACATTGTTTACACCGGCCTTTTCAACAGGAGATTGAACCATCCGTTATTTACGCATTCCAGTACACAGAAGTCAGGACATTGCTCAGTTGGTACATGGCCTGGTCATGATACGCCAGTGTTTACATTGTTTGCTCAAATACACACCCTGCTAAGAAACATCACTTTGTATCCAAACATCAAGTTTAAAGTTTGCTTGTGTGCTTGATTAGGAGGAAGTTGATAAAGACTTTAATTTGTGTGTTATTTAATGTGTGTGTGTGTGTGTGTGTGTGTGTGTGTGTGTGTGTGTGTGTGTGTGTGTGTGTGTGTGTGTGTGTGTGTGTGTGTGTGTGTGTGTGTGTGTGTCAGAGGGCGTTATTGGCGGTGCCCGTTGAACGGTATCATAGGCCGCAGATAAATAGATGTCGTTAAGAGCGGAGCTCTAATTACCTGCAGCCCTCCTCTGTAGGCTGAGGTGAGTGGGAGAGGATAGGTATACGTCATCCATCAGAAAGAACACACACACGCTGTAGACAAACACCAGTACACACAGCAGCACACATGTAAGATTTCGTCCCACTTACAGCAAGCGCGTGTTTAACTGTGGACGTATAGAGCCGAGTGTGTGCAGGCCAACCAGCCGATGATTGAAAGGGAAGTTAAAGATCATGAGTCACATTTTTGTCATGTGTGTGATTGTGTGTCCGTCCGTGTGCGCGTTCATAAAGGCGGTGGGGCCTTTACCTGTACTTTCTTGTGTAATTGACACTTGACACTTTGCTCTCCTAACGACACACAAATGCACACACTCTTTGATACCCTATGTATTGGCGTTTTTGGAGTAGCCAACCTTCACCCAGCACACACACGCGCACACACACACACATCTTGGTTTGCGGCCCCTGATCCAAATCTTGCATGCCTTCATTAGCCAGGGGAAGCAAATATGTGCAGGTGTGTGCGTGTCTGTGTGTTAATGTGAGTGTGTGTGTGTGTTGCGATGAGGGGCAGCTGTGGGGCCATATGTGAGTGATTTGGGTGCTCAGAGGGAAACTGAGTTCTGATGACAGATGCAGTGTTTGGCTTGCAACACTAGACACACACACTAGTTCACTAACACACACACACACACGCATGCACAGAAACAGGAAACGTACATCAATCAATCACCTGGCTCTGTCTCTCTACATGTGGTGACCGTATGTTGTGCGCACACACACACACATATACGGCAGAGGATGTAACTGTTCTGCTGTCCGATGTCCAATGGATGAAAACACATGTAGCATAACGACTCTAATATTAGCTCAGGTGTTTATTACATATAACATCATGAAAAGAGGATGTTCTGTTGTACACATTTTGAGATTCAGAGCCTTCCCAGTGTGAATAAACACATCGCCAGTGTTCCTTTTATATTAAATCCTTGGACAATTTTAAAAGTTTGATTTTGTAATCAAATTCCATTCAGCGTGAAGAATGCCGTCGTAAATGTCTGTTTAGGGGCTAGAGATTAGCAAGGAAACAAAAGAGCTATTAAAGGTCTTCTACACATGTTTAATTGTTTTCCGATCCCTTGCTATTTTTATGCTCATGTTATTTTTTTCTTTTTTGTTAAATCACCTTTGAGGTGACCTACTGCAAGTTCCTTATACATTATATATATATATATATATAATTATGTTAATTGTGCTGTGATCCTACAGTGCATCAGATTGCAAAAAAGCTGAACTGAACAGTGCCGTGTCCACTGGGCTCTTTTGCTTTTGGCTGTCAGCCTGAGACAGATGCTCAATGGAAGTGCTGCTAGTAGCTCCATCTGTAGCTCTGAGAGTACGGACAGCCTTGATTGAAGTGCGGCGCACCTTCGTGAAAAATGAAATGTTCCTAACTTATAGCACTGAGTGCTCTGAACCAAAGACTGTCCTGCCATGAACATAGAACAACAAGAAACCAGTGCTGAAAAGAGGGAACGAGCGAGGGAGATAAACAGATTGGGATAAAAGTGACACTACAAGAAAGAGGGGAGGAGGGGTTTGGGTGCGAGGGGGATCTGGCGCACAAGAGGTCGTTTTTAGAGTCGTACCCATAGGCACAGCACGCAGACGACAACAACAACCCGTGAGGGATTATCAGCGCGGACGTCACAATCAGTGAAGGAAATGTAAAATCGGAAAATGAGGATTGGATGGGCAACAATGCTGAGATATTGAGACAATTTAAGAATTAATGCAGGGGGCAAGAAATGGTGGAATAGACCGGCGGATGGAGAGGGAGAGAAACAGACGGGGCCGTGGAGGAGAAAGATGAGGTGTGCTGTCTTCTCAGGGTCATAAAGGTGGTGAATGGGGCCAGAGACTTAATGGGATGGAGAAACGTTGTGATTGGCTCATTACTGTGATGGAGCACGTTGCCACGACAATTGGCCTTTTCACCCCCCTACAACCTCACCCTCCTTCTTTGCACACACTACTTTTTTTATGCACCAGTACTCCATAAACCACAGAGGTGTGTGTGTGTGTGTGTGTTTGTGTGTGTGCGCTCTAAAACAGTAAAAGTTGCCTGTAAAGTGCATCCTGCACTTGAGATATACGCATAAACACTTAATGCTTCAAGGTGAAGAAGGCGTTACTACTTTTTGTCCATCACATCCAGTAGCAGTTGCCCGGCCACATATTTTAAACACAAACCCGGGATTCAACGCAACAAGAAGTTGCATTGAAAGTATCTTGTGTTTTATTAACCTCGTTCCCCACAGAAGGAATCTGTGTAGAGCAGAACAATGGTCTCAATAGGATTTCCCATTAGGCATGATAAATGAGAGCACATCATCCCCGTGCCACCAAGCCAATCTGTTTCCTCTCTCTCTGCTGACCTTACGTCAACGGTGTGAATATTAAAAAGGTATCAAGACTAGAGTCTGCTTTTTCAGTACCCCCCCCCATCTCCCCTCCCTCCCTCTGTTCTCTCTTTGACTTTGCAGCGTTCCGTAAGTTTTCTTCATCGGTCTTCATTTTTCCTTCACGCTCTAACGTTGTCCTTCCTTCTCCTCCCGCAGCGTCGCAGAGGCAGCGGGGTCTTCTGTGCAAACTGTCTGACCACCAAGACGTCGCTGTGGAGGAAGAACTCGAACGGAGGCTACGTCTGCAACGCGTGCGGTTTATACCAAAAGCTACACTCGGTAGGTCACAGGGTTACAGGGCGTTTCTGTTTGTCATCCTATTTTATTAGGATGTCCTTTCAAACAAATTAGACGAGACGCAAGAAGGAAGCTGTACATTTAAAAGACAAATATATATATAGAAGGACAGAGAGGAATCCCTAGAAGTGAGCTGTAACTCAAGTGAATCATCACACAAAAGGTGATTTGCTTTGAGGGTTCCTATATGCACGTAGGAGACCTACAAACACTCATAAAGGTTGTACTGGATCAGGAACACAGTCCTTCAGACTATTTTATAGACTGTGCTGTTTTAATACATCCACGAGGTGATCTTGACCACTAATTATCATTCCTCCTGTCGGCCCGATTAGAATCCCACGCAAATCAAACGGTGCAGTCAAATTGCTGCATACTTTCTGTTCCCGCTGTGAAAACGTAATACAATGGAAAACGCATATTTGATTTAGACGGAGGTGGGCGTTACAGCCCATTTCACCAGTCACTGTGAGCCAGATCCGTGAGAGAGATGACGGAATTAAATAACTTTACCATCTAACCCAGGGGAGCTCTATGGAAATCTCAAATGTAATTAAACTGCATGAATTACAGATAAGAGCCTGGAATTTAGTTTACGTTAGAATATACATTTCTCCCTTCATATGTTTCTAAGGAGTTAAAACTATTTTCACACTTCAACATAGCTATTTAACGCAAGAGTTTAGGGCAAATAAGCCCCAACAGGTATATGTGTATGTGCCAGATTCATGCTCGCATACTCAGCCTGTAAAATTTCAAAATGAAACTGTTTCAGTGTAATAAATCAGTGTTAGTAAATGCATCAATGGGTCGACCGTGTTACAACCCAGAGATCCGAGCTGCAATTATGGAATGGAGCTTTAAAGACCTTTCGCAGGACGACAAGCCGTGGCGGTTTACTCCTTCCTGCCCCTGCCGATGTCCTCGGGTCAACCCGTTGGTCTCATCTGCTGCTCCGATCACGTCCTAGCCCCCGCTGCTCTTGACAATCTTCACGACAGTCATATTTTATATCCCATAATAAAAGTTTTATATGCTCTACACACATTATTAGAGAGGATAGCAGCTAGTAAAACACTTCAGAGTGAGCGAGGGGAAGGGAGAGTTATGAATACACAGGGAGAAGACGGGAGACATGAAGGCCGGGAGGGAGGGAGACATGGGATGAGAAAAGGAAGAAAGAGAAGTTGAACATAATGAGTGAGGAAAGATGTAATAAGAGGGGGGGTGGGGAGTTTCAAGAGTTTGAGACTGGGATTGGGAGAAAATGCAGATGTCAAAGTAGAGATGAGTAACCGTAAAGGTGTGCGTTTGCGTGGCAGTTAAGGTGTCTGCCACAAGATTGTAGACACAGTAAAGCTTCAATTGATGAGCATCATTTTTCTATAGACAACCCGATCGATAACTTATCTTATATTCATTGTACGAATGAATTAATAAATTAAACATAATGTCTTTTATTGCTTCTCGCCTTTTTTCCTCAGCCATCGTTGTACCTTTAATCCAGTCAGACTCCCTTTATTTATTATAATATTACCAGTTCTGCTGCTGAGGGAGGCACCTGTCCAAAAGGCAGGTGTTTTAATGGATCATTGAAACGCAGCGTTGTCCCTCCTGAGGATTTGTGTAGAGCTCGTGTGGGCATGACGACTGTTGATCGTGAAAACGACCGTTGTTCTCATTTGTTTGTTGCAGTAATTGCAGCAGGACACAGCTGGGTTGACCTTAGGCTAGACGCATCTCCCCAACACTTAGCAGCTCTACAGCGACTGATGAGGATCCGGCACACATGAGCACGCTTTTATACACTTTGTAAAGGACCTTGAGTGACACACTTAGTTAGTCACAGACATATCCACAAAGGTACACCAACAACCATGAATGCATTCACGCAGATACATCATTTACAGCAGAGACGCAGCAAGGTTTAATACTTTTTCTTTCCTTCAAAGGATTCTTTATGTTTGTATTTCATCTACTTCAAAACTTTTTCATGTTCCTCTATTGTAACTTCTACAGTATGAGAATCTGCCACGATGTAATTATGTCGAAGGCCACGTGCAAATAATGGATTACTTCATGACAAAGCTCTTAGCATTTTTAACTTCAAGATTTCCATTACACTTTGTTTTTGCTAGAAAAGCTCCTTCAGTTTTCAATTGAGGTTACTAGTTATGCAGAGAAGAGTCCGTTCTTCAATATTGGAAGATAAACAGTTCACTTTATTTTACTTTAGCTAATTTGTCAGGAAATATTTGTGATTTGTGTTTTAGTTTTCTTGGCATGTGTTTAGTGAGACGCAAAAAGCTCATCACCTGGCAATCTTTATTTGTACTTCCTTATTTCCATTGGGAAATTAAATGTGTTTTTAATTCAGCTTTAATTTTGCCTTGAGTATAAATACCGTATACTCAAATAATCTAGAGATTAATTGATGAAATGAAGGCGAGTTTGTGAGGGATCGCTCAGGTTAAAGTTAAAAGTTAAGTTAAAAAACGTGACTTTTAGTCATAACCTCAGATGTAAGCGCTCCCTCTTGTGGTGAGGGCAAAAAAAACAGTCCTCAGAATTGCTGGACAGTTAAGTATTTTATAACTATGTCACGGTTTATTACATTTAGATCAAGATGATTTGAGACTTTTACAACTTTGAAGTAGAAAGTTACGAGTCACTGAGTACCCTTAAATTATTATTAACGGTTCAAACCAAGACAATGAACCCTATTAATCCTCTTCCGCGTTGTTCCTTGTTTTCCTCTATTACAGACACCCAGACCTCTAAACATCATCAAGCAGAACAACGGTGAACAGATCATCCGCCGCCGGACCCGGAAACGCATCAACCCTGATCCGCTTTCCTCTGAGACCCCCGCCCCCAAACAACAACGCATCACCAGCGAGGAGCGGCTGAATGGGGAGGAGTCGGACAGAAGTTTTGCATCAATCAAAAACCAGCAGCCTTCACCTCGCTCGCGCTCACCCCGATCCACTCAAGCCTTCCTAGCCAATCAAACATTGGAGATCCACCGACGAATGCCTCCCCTGCTCCTCCCCTCACATCCCCCCTCCTCATTGGTAGCCGAGGGCAACGGAGGCGTGGTTGAGGGAGGAACAGTGTCAAAAGGAGACGGCGGTAAAGGAGGAGGAGGGTCAGAAAGAGGCAGCCCGATTGAAAAGTACATGCGTCCTGCCAAGCCATCAAGTTATTCCCCTCCCGGATCACCCATCGAAAAGTACCAGTACCCTCTCTTCTCCTTACCGCTTCCATTAACCCTTTCGCCGGATTTGACCCCTGAGTCCGATTGGCTCAGATTCTGGACCAAGTATAAGATGGCGGCTGCCTCCGGGGTTCCTGGCAGCATCAGTAATCTCAGCAGCCCCGGTGGCCTCGGGAATAACGCTCTTTACCTTAGCGCAATGGTGGCTCCAGGGCAGCATCATCAGCAGAGCTACACGGTGCCTTACTGCGCCTCTCCCTTCTCTCCTCTTCCCCCACCGCCAGCCCCTCCCCACTACCCTCCTCCTCCTCTTCACTCTCAAACCTCATTGCCGTCGTTAGAGAACGATGCCCCTTTGGATCTCGCAATAAGACAAAGAGATACAAGTGCTGCAAATGCACAGCTGTCAACAAACGGTCCAGAGAGGAGAAGGCAAGAGGTGCCGGTAGCTGAAAGGTTAAGAGACAACTGGAAGGGAGAGAGAGAGGAAGATGAGGAGAGGATGGATGAAGGGGGTAGCTCAAAGGAGGAGGTAGGAAGGGAAGAAAAGGATGATTTGACAAAATGTCAGCCAAGTGTCCCGTCGACTCGCGCCATGGTGCACGCGGCCACGCAAGACGAGCTGACCAACCGCTGCCTCCACTGTGGCATCTACTTCCTGGACGAGGTCATGTATGCCCTGCACATGAGTTGCCATGGCGACCAGGGACCATACCAATGCGGTTTTTGCCTCCACGTGTGTGTAGATCGCTATGATTTCACCACACACATACAGCGGGGCTTACACAGGTACTCAGACAAAACGCCGCATGAGAAAGGTCCCGAGCAAGATGGCCTCACTCAGGACGTCACACCGATGTCGGAGCAACAGAATGTGACGTCGGGGGAAAACGATAAAGGGGATCCTAGCGAGGTCGCGGATGGAAGCGATGATGTCGTCGGTGTTTGTCCTGACAACCGAGCAGATGGAACTACAGGCAACGAGGCCACGGACGATGAAACAGAAGTTGAAAAGGAAGCCAGAGAGGATCATGACATCACAAACCAGGTGTTGGGAGATGAGATGGTGTCAGAAAGTAATGATGTCATCGCAAAACCCAAGGAGGTAACGACTGTTGCTGAATCTGAAAATGTAGATGAAAACACAGAGTAGTTAATCGGATGCCTTTGACTCACGCAGACCTTTATTGAATGAATAAGCTGTCGGCCTCCGCGTTCCTGGAGGCTAGCTCACGTCACAGTGGGAACTAAATGGAACACATCCTTATGCTGGAAGCACTCGGCTGTCAAATGGTCAAAAATCATTGCAGGATCCTGCTCGACCGCTGCAGGGACAGTTGGGAGAAATAGCCCCCAATCCTACGTTGAGTGACAGCCACGTGACCGCTGGGTGGCAAGCATTCAAAGCCGGAGTCCGGGCACGCAGCCGAAATCACCTTTTTAACAAACAGCCACTTCGTGTGTTTACTGAATCGGAGGGAAGCTCGAGGTTCGACTGCTCTCATTTAGGGTGAGTTTTACGGAGCTCAGCACTTGCACAGCCCCCATACAACAGAGCAAACGAAATATGTAGAAGCAAAACACTTAAACTGAACTGGGCTGGTGTGTTATGCATCGTGCTAACCTGATCCCTGAGCTGGTCCGGTGCATCACCCAGACGGTTTTATCCTGGTACGACCAGATGGGATCTGGGTTATCACTTCCTTCCTTCCAAGTGTGTTTCAGACTATTTTATCGCTGTGCAGATGGATCCAAAACCAAAAGTTTATTTTGACTCTTTGAACCTGGTCAGAGTTGGACCAGTTTAATCTGCTGGTTTTACCATGATACGAAACGATCAGGTGGTTTCATTCACTCGTGCCCTTGTTTCTAAAACAACACCGGCTGCAAAGTGGCCCCGACTGTGAGACCGATTTGGGATTGATTTGACCGAGACTTTCTGAACTTCTTGAAGCCAGTTTCAACTGGTGAAACCGGAGGAATCCGGACCGAAGTGTTCTCTCCATCCATTTGGTTCAAACCAAGTGACATTATTTTCTACCTTCCTCTGTGCCATCATACTAGCTACGTGCCTGGCTGCCTGCCTAACAGAACATTCATCTATTAACCTGCTTAACATTTATAATGATGATAATGGTAATAATAATAATAATGATTATGATGTTATAGGACAATACATGCAATTTGTTACACCCTTTTTCCTATATAATATGTTATTTTCTAAGGGCAAATAATGCTTCTTTTATTTGCAGGAAATGGTACTATACGGATTAGTTTATTTGTGTTTTTTGGTTTTCTTTTGGTCTGGTGTTGCCATGGAGAGTTGTTACATCGATCACGGCCGTCTAACAGAAATGGTACAGCAAAAGACGGGGGTTGCGTGTATGTGTGCATTTGTGTAGTAGCGTTTGTGTGTAAGGAACAAAGGATGTGTCCGTCCCAAAACCGAGGATTTAAACATTATGAAGGCTTGTGCTCGATATATCTGTACTCAGGGGTCACAAGTGTTGCACACCAACCCGCCTGTTTCATAGCATGTGACACCCTTTTTTTTTTTTTTTTTTTTTTTTTTTTTTTTTTTTTACACAAGTACAGCGGTCTAACGGTTTTGGCATGTTCCATAACATTCTTTCTTATATGTTCCTATTGTGTTCTTTATGTGTCAATAGGTCAAAATGGACTTAGTATGTAACTTTTTTTTCTGTTTGTCTTCACATGGTTTTATAGGGAAACTTACCAGACCTAAACGTTCTCATAAGGATCAATTATTTGCATTAACTGAATGAACTTTTGCTCTGTATTGAGTCTACAGAACTCCTTGCCTACAGCGTTTGACGCAGCCTATCGTGTATATCTGCGAGTGTGAGGTTACCTCTATGTAGCATGTTAGCGTCTTATGAAATCTGCAGAATACGTTGCCTTTTTCTATGGATGGAAGCTGTTCCACTTTTGACCTTAATAATACTGAACAGACACGAGACGTCATTGTAAAGTTACATTTTATATTTCACTGAAGGGAAATGACCATGTTGCTAACTCATCCCACTTCTCTGCCATTCGATACCAATGTTTGGATTCTAAAATGTTCTAAATTAAGAAAAAGACCTGCCTGATACCTCTTCACCGTTTGTTTTCAATAGTCATGACAGGCAGGTCCTCAGAAAAAAGGAGCAACACAGTGGCCATCTTGTTTATTTTTATAAAGAGAGAATCACTCCTTCTGCCTTGCTGCCTTAGTTTGCAAAAAAAAAATGAAATCACCAAGAGACTCTTTGAAAGAAGTGTTAGTAGGCCAAAAGAAAGACAAGAAGCAAGAAAGAATGAGAACAAGATATTTTTCTATGCTTATCCAAGAGACAAGAATGAAAAATGTTCCGCCTAGTGCCTGTTAACTTGTACAGTTTTTCTAACAAGTGTAACTTTCTGTGTCTAAAAGTATTGTCATCAGTCGGCTGATGAGACTCACGAGAAGTCTGACTGCTATATTTAATTCCCACGTACCGATACTATCATTATAATGCTTGATTGTCTGCTGTCTGGTTGATCAAATACTTATTATTTCTAAGTATTTTCAGCCTATGGGAAGATCTGTATGAGCATTTAAAAAATGAAGTTGGTTGCTATGGTAACTTTCAATCGCTAGTTATCTGGATGTAATTTTCTGCATGTATGTACACGAGTCTGTGGAAATGCTGAGACACACAGTACGCCTTGGTACCTTTAGTGTGAAAGTTGTTCTGTACTGTGGGTTTATATGCAGATGAATTATGACACGCAGTCAAGGTACCAGAAGGCCCAAATCATGGTAAATGTTTCCGTCTGCATTTTTGTTCTCTAAAGAGTTTGCTTAAAATCTTTACCATTCATGACTCTTCACACCGATGAAACTAATTCAAAAATGATGATTATGTAAAGAGAATCTGATTCAAATGGTGTTCAATCTATAGGAAATATCTTGTGCCAATGTGTTTAAGTTTATTTTATGTTTTTGGGGCTGCTAGCATAATGAAATCTGTTTACATTTGAAAATGTAGCAAAAGAAAAGAAGCAGGAATGAAGCAGTGCTTCCTTAAAAACCAGAACAAAAGGAAGGGCCGGCGGAGATGGATAGAACGGTGCCTTTGAAGAAAATATGAGCAGACGGTAGATAAAGAGTAGCTAACAAATCTAGGTTAATGTATCCATTTAGCCTTTCCTCTGTTGTCTTGTATCCGTGTCATCTAATTTGACCAAGACTTCTCCATCTCATCTTTCCTCATATCTGAGCACCTGTTTCTCCAACCGACTGACTCCCTCCTCTCTTCTCCCGAGTAATGCACGTGGGACGGTATTTTGGTAATTCGGTCATGCTGTTGCTGACTGGCAACAGATTTACCCCAGAACTGACAACCTTTGTGCTCGTGTTTACCTTGCTGAGTTGCATCCCACTCAAATGGGCCGTGGGTTTGTTGAAAGAAATCTCAGATACTTGGCGAAACAAAGTTTTCAGATTTAGGTCAATTTGTTTGCCAATGGGACTCATCTAAGATACGTATTCCAAAAATGTCCTCCTTTAAACAATGAAACGTCCTTTTGCTAAAGATTGTAGGGGGATTTCTAGGAAAAGTAGGGCAAAGATATAAAAAAACTGGATGAACTATTTATGTTCAATCGGAGTGATTCTGATGCCAAAATGTTTTAGTAGTAATCTTTTGAAACTTTCTAAGTAAAAAGAAAACGGCCTTGATAGAAGAAAAAAAATGCTCAAACACACACTTTTCATATAGTTGGTGCTCTGCAGAACCGTTTTCTATCCAGATGTCTTCTTCAGTGTTTATGCCAGCTTAGCATTAACGTCTCCCAAAGGTCAAGGAAGGACACCGCTTATGTCAACCATGCGTTTGTTGATGATGAGAACATTTCAGCTGGCTGTGTATGAAAATAGACAACATCATTGTTTATACTAATCCTGCAGTACACACTTAATAACGCCGGTGTTTTGGGTTTGATGGTATTCTACATCAGCGTTTACATGGGGGGGATGGGGAGGTGGGGGGGTTGACAAGTGTTCATTTTTGTCTTTCTCAGCATGCGTGGTGGAGAAGCATGCTGTTGCTTGCACTCCAGTTATTATGTTCTCATTGCAAAGGAACACAGAGACGCACGTTGGCTTGAGTGTACATTTTGGGGATGCACAGTAATAATCATGGGAGACAAGGGAGCTACAGGCCAGTTTACTATTGGTCAGACACACATGCATGAACACACATCGACTATGTACATTTAACCAATATATTTTACTAGAATTTTGTCTCCTTTTAAGTTGTATGGCTTTGATATCATGTTTTGTTTCTTTAGGTTATTTTCTTTCTCATGTGTTTTATTCCGAACTTATGTTTTCTGGTTTCATTTCATGCGAAAATGATATTTCAACATTTTTTTTGACCGCCAAGAAAAAGTTTGTTACACAGCTAAACTTGAAGAATAATGTTGACGATGATGACGATAATAATTAATAAAAGTAATAACAAACATACTGAAAAGGGGCAATGTGAGTGGTTCATTCGTGAGTGATTTACTGTGACAAAGAGAGGAAGAGAATTAAATCCTGGATCAGGTTGAATCCACTCATCATGTGATCAAAGACTGGATAGATGCAATAGAACGATCCTAAGGCTTTAAACGTATCTCCTGCTGCGCCGCAGCATGTAGCCACGAGCGCCGCCTCTTTTTCCCACTTCACTTTTTCTACTTTACAAGCTTGCTTTTCGTCCTCGTACACGGTCAGTATTGGATTTTTTGCTGCTCACCACGTACCCCGGAGATCAGATGCAACGTAGCACCACATCACGTTGTTCGTTTCAAGTGTTTTTTCGAGCAGAACACTCTGATGTGTCGTTAACATCGGCCGTGCTGTTTGACGCTGGTCTTAGGAAAGACAGTGGTTGACATGTTGTAGAGCAATTTATTGTCCCCGGCGGATGGATCCACTTGATTTACTATAAATTTAGTATTTGATGTATGTGTATGTAGTATTTGTACATGAACATTTTTCTGTACGGTCAACATTTTTTTTTACAAAAAACAACAAATGTTTGCGTCTCAACATCATTTTAATGTCAACCCTCGTGTCCCTCAGGATACATTTCTATTTTGTAGAACTCTTGCCTACCAAGTCAACCAAGGATTTCAATATCCAGATTAGACATATATAAAATTCACTATTTAAATAGTAATTTACTGCATTTTACAGTCAAAAGGTCAACTCCCCAAACAAGACAATAGGAAGATTTCTCTGACGAAGAGGATTTTACCGACTCGGTCATCTTCCTCTGTCATTACAACGGCACAGAAACTTCCATTTAGTGCAACAGAATATCAATTATTTACATGTTCTGGGGTTACTGTTTATTTCATGGCAAAGACCTGAGAAAGCATTTGGACCTCAGCCAGAGGCTCATTTCTCATCACCGCACACAGAATCTTTTCAGAGGCTGTTTTAATTCTCCCACAATCCTCCTCTGGGCACGGGTACCATGACAGACTTAATCAGAGCAGCGCTGCGATCTGTCAGACTTGTAAGACTTGTAATCTTCTCGTCTATACAATGTTCAGCATTATCAATCTATCTTTGTGTTCAGAAGATGAACGCTGATTGGAGTTGATTAAGTCTGCTTTACAGCTGGTAGCCGGGTGCCGCTTAAACGTGTGCGAGTGCAAAAGTGTGCGATGATCGGGGGGAAGAAAGTGGAATACTAAAAAAAAACCCTGCTGTCTGCACAGACACATAATCATGGACCCGTTAAAGGCAAACGAGGAAAAGTATGAATGTGACAACATGCAGCAATACATGGACACGCTAATTGTTAATGCTAAAACGGGACCAAGGTTTCAGATGGGCAGATGTTTCACACCTGCACACTTTGCATTGTCTGTAGAGCTCAAATATCCCCTCTGTATGCACCCCCCCCCCCCCCCCACACAAACAGGTTCCGATCCCCACCTGCCTGTCAGTCTGTTTAAACAGCTCGCAAACATCATTTCTGTTTTATTTTAAGTCATGTTTATGTATGAGTTACCAACAGTGTTGACTGAAGGTACCTGTGTGTCAAAGAGCAACATGTTAAGGAGGCGCGTGTGTGCATGTGTGTGTGTGTGCAGATGTATTTGAGTATTTTGTGTAAATGTGGGTCACTTGAGATGTACTTTTTTTCAACTTCCACAGGGTGTGTGGATGACGTTTTGGATTATGAATGTGGCTCATGTGGACAGCTGTGAAGAATGACGAGAGTATGAGAGAGAACCATGGAGGGAAACAGTAAGGGAGAGAGAGAGATGATGATCTGGCTATGAGACATATTGAATATTGAATGATTTCAAACAGTGACCGCTGTGTGCGCTGATTTCATATTCATTTTGGGATATAAAGCTCTCCCGCTACGTAGCTAGCGAGCGAGCTAGATGGGTGGACGTTGCTATTCATTGAATCAATCATTTATAACCACATGGGCTACTGTAAGATGAACTGCATCTCTGCCTCTCACTAATCCCAGTTCCCGCTGAAAGCAAAATTACAGCTCTCCATCGCCTCAGCACCTCGGGCGAGCATCATCAGATTCACAGTGAGGTCCACTGAGGAGGGATTTCATGTGTAATCTACTTTCCCTTTGTTTCCTCTTTACTACTCCAGTTGCTCCACACTTTCTCTTCTGTTGCTTTTCCTGCCTCTCTCTTTTTTCCTCCTTTCCACAAATTTCAGATGCACCTCATCACGGCAGGAGGCTCGACATTCCTGCACAAAGACGTTTTAGAAGCGAAAGGAATCACTTACACTTACATCCAAACACACTGAGCTGAGTCTCCCACACGCATTGCGGCATGAAGAGTTTTTCCTTGCCCCGTCCTTCACACCAGGGCACGGGAGTTATTTAATAATAATTCAGTTAATAATATCTCCTCCTCACGAACACTGATAATAGTATGCATTGTGTGTGTGTGTGTGTGTGTGTGTGTGTGTGTGTATATGAGTGTCTTTAAATGACGTTTTCTTTTTCTGTGGAAGGTTGATAATCTTTTGCTCTGTTTCCTCACCTGCAACACGCCAATCCACCACCGAATAACCTTCCCCTCACTTTTCTAATACGATGCATTTTAATTCTTTGCAGAGCACATGATAGGTCATCAGGACCAGAAGTCAGAGGAACTGACAGTAAACCACGTTTTTCTAGCATTTCTACCAGACTTTTGTTTTCGTCTTGGTCCTTGTTGACTCTTTCTCTAATGACTCGTTCTAATGGAGGATCTGCATTGTATGTTAAACTTTAATTGGGTTGGTTCTTGACGTGTAGCGAGAGTGTTTGTGAGTGTGTGTCTGTGTGTTAGTAAGTTATTGTGTTCTCCAACTATCAACAAAGCATCGAGACTCTCATCCAGTCTGAGCATAGTATTTTTATTTATATATTTCAAAGAAAAAGTTTGCCTCAACCAATTTGGAAGGAGGTCCCTCCCCGGTGAAGTCAGTCTGCACATTATCTTTGATCAAGCCGCCCTGTGATGCGCTCTCTCAAGCGCACCGCGTCGATGCTTCCATCCCCTTTCATTGTCCCCCCCGCCCCCCGCTGTCCCTGCCTGTCCAACCATCGGTCTGCTCCCAGCGCAATGTCTGCCCGACAATTGGACAATTTGGGACGCAAACGTGTCCGGCCGCTGCGTCCTCATGAAAGTCCCATCAGGGTGCACAGGAGTGTGGCCGGCCACCGTGGTGCCGTTTCCTTTCGTAGAGACGACGACCACGACGCGTCTGTTGTTGCATCGCATCTTTTAGGAAAAATCTGTTCAATTCATGGACTCACAGTTGGGTTCGTAGAAGTCAACATAGAGAATTCTAGTGGTGCTACCAAATAGTAAAGCTTTTCGCAGCTCTTTCCTTATTTGCATTTACTTTTCAAGAAACCCACACAAAGCAAAGAATAAAATGCATCATCATATTTGAAACTTTTAACCAATGCAGAGGCAGCAGCTAATCAGTTCTGAGGTTTAGAGTTAGTTATTTATGAGCTTAAAGAAATATTCAGGTGCCCTAAAACATTTCATATATCATTAATAAAGCAAGTAAGACACAAAGACTAAAGTACAGCATGATGAAAAATAGAAATGAGACGGTATCTTCGGAGACAAAAACAAATTATAGATGAAACATGAATAAGGATCTTTATACATAATATAGTCATTTTTGTATTATTAAGTTAAAGCAAAGCCTGGTTATATTTGTATGAAAAAAATGTGATACGCTTTTCGAATAAGTATTCGTCCTCAATAATATAAATACAAAGCCAGTAACAGAAAAAGTGGAGGTTTTAGGTCAAATATTGTTTCCTACTATATTCTCAATAATAAGGTAAATAAACCTCTCCACTACAAAAAACAGCAGTGTGTGTATTTATTCCACAGTGCACCACAAAAACACAGTAATGACCAAATTATTGGGTAAGTTAACCTTCTATTCAAGCTGATTAGATTTCTATCTGCACTGACAGATCACAGCACCAGGTAATCTCCCCTTTTTACATGAGGCGCGAATGTCCTGATTCAAGTAATATTTGTTTACATCTGTACTCTGCTTCGGGCTTCGGACATTTCACATCAACAGCAGCCAATACTATTGGAAATACTTTAAATGTTTAATCCCGAGCTCCTCTGGGGATACTGAACGTCTACTTATTGATAACCAAAGCTTCCTTTACAATCAATATTTCCCCGAGGGAGGCCAAAAAAAAAAAAAGGGCTGATGGTGCTTATGAATGCCACGGTGAAGGGCTCAGTCAGCTTCAAAGGCTTCACAGACCAGTTCTCCACATCTGCGTCACCATCGACTTTCTCCCGCCCCAATGCTTTGTTGAGAAAGCGTGGTGCCAAAAGCTACCAGAGATGTGTTGGTAAAAAAGTGACGGTTTCCCCAAGCACGTGTTAAACCTCTCAACATTTTGTCTTTTTTTTCTGAGGCAGGACCTTTGAGATGCTGGTGTGCAGCCTTGGACAAGTGGGACACACACACACACACACATACACATCCTGGAAATCTTTACAGCCAAAACATGCATTCAAGAGCAGCCTGAAATAATGTGGTGCCGTTGTCTGGATACTGTATTACAAAAAGGGTTTTTTCCTGATAAAATATCAAAGTAAATTCCCTTGGTATTTTGGATTATGTCAGCCATGCAGTTGCTCAGGGACCAACTATGGCCGTGAGATGATCAAGTAGCTCGGAGGGTTGAAATCCGTGGACATCTCTTGTGTACTATACACCAATTCCAGCTGCTCCCAGTGGCTGCAAAATCATTTTAACTTCCATCATTGGCTCCCTCAGTCTTCTCCCTCTGGGTGAGAAAATGGTTTAAATCTCCACCGATGCTGCCAGTGGCTTCTGTTCAAGAACACCAACGCCTCTCTCGCTTCCCCTGTCTTAACCTTTGTGCAACCAGTGTGGCCTGCTTGTTGTCTTGGCGATCCCCAAGCTGAAACCCATTCTTGTATTGCACTAATT